CAAATAAACTTTCTCCAACAGTTCATTACAGACAAACACATTCACAGTGACACAAGCAAAAAACATAAACATCCACATTTCCTTTCTGTGGTGTGTGACTAAACTAATGAACTTAATGTCAGACAACTAGATGACCTTTTCCCAAACATCTATTCTGTGAGGTGAGCTGTTATAGGTCTTATGTTCATTCTTGTCTTTCAAATCTATTTCCCAGAGTTTGGATATCATTGTAGTTAGTGCGACTGTAACTTTGCTTGTTTTGTTTTTTTCTTTGACTACTACATTTTTATGCTTTAGCAGGGTTTTTACAGCTGAAAGAGCAGCAGTCTGTCACAGCTCCCTGGGCTCAGACTGACCGCAGCCCACAGTTAGAGTTACCGGCTGGGCTCTGCAACATTACACAGGGGGAAACCATGGGAGCCGTGCAGGCTGAGAGTACAGCTTCAGCTTTGAGCTTCTGAGCAGCATATTGTGAAACAGCCCCCTCCTCTGCTCGATGCTTGTTACACTACWGTATGCTGTTTACCTTCATTTCTGGCTCAGGTAAAGATCCAGAAGAAATATGRTGGGAAACATGGATTTTTATCAGATGCCAATGTGTGAGTTGAGACAGGAACAGTTACTTTGCTGTTCGMTAAGCCTGAAGAGGCTTTAGTAACCCGTCAATATTTGCTTGGGCTGACGTATTAAATAGACCTAATCATAGTAGCCTGGATAAATATAACATACTGTGTTATTATGGTCTGTTTGAAAACTGCTTAAATTGTTGTAAGACTTCACTTCTCAGGAGTAGGGCCCTAATGCAGASAAGCAGAAACAAATCTGACTCGCCTGGCATTACATATGCTCAGTTCAATTACTAACAGATAAAAAGTAAAAGTCCTTTTAATTAAGGTTTTATTCTACCAATTCACATGCAGCATTTTAACAGCACAACCCCCGAGTTTGTGTTTAGTCACCGGCCACTTTTTTAGGTACACCACGCTAGTAACGGGTTGGACCCCCCTTTGCCTTCAGAACTGCCTCAATTCTTCGTGGCATAGATTCATTCAACAAGGTGCTGGAAGC